AAAACTCCACCGTCAAATTCCCAAGTTATATTTTTAGCTGGTCCAATTTCAATCCATGTTGGAAATCCTCTATTTGGTTCTAAACCTTGACCTCCGTGGTATGCCATTTTTTTCCCCTTTTTTTCTATAAATTTTTACATTACATCGTTTGTAAACGAAATAATAATAATAATAATAATAACTGAAATTTTAACGATAGAATTAAATAAATGTTAATATTTTTTTTAAAATATAAATAATAATTTTTTTTTTTTACTTGTTGATTAAATAGTAGTTGTAACATGTTAGTTAAAACAATATAACACAAATTTATTAAAACATTATTAATAAACATGAATCCTATATATTAATTAATATTTAAATTTAAATCCATTATTATTTTTATTAATATTTAACTTTTATTTTCCACCGTTTTAATATACATACATAAAAATTTTCTTTGTTTACGAATAGGAAAATGTTAAATCGATTTAAATTCATAAAAAAGCATTCAACGACCGAAAGATGTCAGTTTTTAAAGGATTTTCATTTGGATCGTGTTAAGGAAACTAAACAAAACATTAATTTCGAGAAAATTATTAAAACTTTATTTTTTTTTAATTATTTAAATGTATTAAAGTTTGTTCGAAAAAAAACTTTTTAAAAATCCATTTTGCCGTTCATGATGTAAAAAACTCGTTACAAAAAAAAAAAAAGAAAAATACACGTCTAAAATATAAGCGTCTATAAATTTTTTTTAAAAATTATTTAATAAAAATTTAAATTGATTTAATGATAAAATAATATTAATGATTATCGGTTTCCAAAAATTTATTCCATTTATCCAAACGTTCTTTTTCTTCCGTTTCATTTTCCGTTATTCTAAAAATACAAAATCGTATCATTAGTTTAATAATTTTACATCATTCTATTAATTTTACATTGTTGATTGTGGGCTTACTTATATTTTGTTTTTCCATCCCATACTTCGGCTGTTATTCTTCTTTGTCCGAACCATCTATTGTTTAATAATTTTATGCAAAGATCTGCTTCTTCTGGATCGCTATACGTTATTTGAGCAACACCGTCGGGATGTTTCTAAAAATAAAAAAAAATAAAAAATTTTTAAGTGAATTGCACTCGACAATTTGGTTACA